CCTGTTTTTTCAAGAAAAATATCATTTAAAAGGTTAAATTGTTTTACATAAAGGTGTCAAATTGTGAGTTTTGATGCTATCCAAAATTACCCACATAAAGAAATCACATATTGTGTAAGATTGAGGTATTCCCATATTATATGAAATTGAGATTGATATTGATAAATTTACTAAAAGAAATAGAAATCCAAAAAGATTAAAACTCTTGATTTTGAAATATATGTAACATCTATAGAAAGTTTCTTATTTAGTGTGGATTCTCTACCTTATATATATGGGATGAAAATATAGAGAATTGTGTGTCCTATTTAGGTTACCATATGAGAATGGTGGTTCCTCTAGAGAGATGGAGGGAGAGTCTCGTACGCATAAAATGCAATTTCTTCTCAGAGAAAAGAGCTTCTTGTAAGGAGAATTCCTCTTAGAGAAAAGAGATTCTTATGAAGAGAAACATCGATGGTGCCTCCTGAAGACTTCTCACTCATAGTGCTTCATGAAGACTCCTACAGAGTGAGATGTTAGTTTTTTGTCCAGAAGCTGTTCCTATAAAGATGTAGTGCTTCCTAAATAATCCTGTAGAGTGAGATATTGGTTTCTTGTACAGAAATGATTTCCATAGAGATCTTGGGATATTTCTCCTTTTAGTGAGATAAAATCCCGTTTGCTCTCAAAGTTTGGGGTGTTTTTCCTTTTAATGAGATAAATCTCATTTGCTCTCAAAGTTATTCTTGTCCTAGATAGTAGTCTAGTTATAGTCAATTCCTAGACAGTGGTCTAGTTATGGCATAGAGATGAGAGATTGACATGGTGCCGTTTAGGAGAGTAGATTTAAAAGGATTTGTTTGACTGTGTTTTTGTCGAGATTTGTTCCAAAATCTTTGATATAACTTTCATTGGTATAGTAGACTTTTGATTGTCGTGCCCGTAGATGTAGCCCTACTAGAGCGAACCACGTAAATCTTTGTGTTCTTGTGGTATGTATTTTATGTTTTATTTCTCGTACTTTATTTGTCAAAATTTAATCTATCGAAATTAGAGCTTTCGCGTACAACACAAATCACAGTAGTTAACTTAAAGCAAGTTACTTTTTTATGTTTCATTTCAGCCGAATTTATTATCAGGAACCCTAAACAAGTAGGGGTACTTCTACTTGAGTGGTCTATAAAATGGTGAAAATATCCTTGGTTGTTCAAATTTGACTGCATGGAAAAGAGTAGCCAATAAAAAATTTGAGTTTTATGTTGGTAAATCTAGGCGTTTTCATTTCACTCAAGTGATTTTTGAATTTGACATATTTAATAAATTTATAAAATAATATGACCATTTAATTAATGTTTTCTTTTTTATTTATAAACCCACGACGTACTATGATAATAAGTTAATAACTAATGTTTGTCCCATGTTTCCTACAATTCGCTTGCAACCGTTGCATCTGAGTTGTTTTCCTTGAAATTAAGAAAATAAACAAATGGAAAATGGAAACGAGTAATCAAATGTCCAATGATGAAACTAAGTATTTTAGGTGGGTTAGTTAGAAAAATGCTCCGATAATGATGAAAAAGATATTTTAAGTGAGTGGACAAATTTTTTTTTTTTTCGTAAAAATACACTATACATGCAATGTGGTACATCTACGGTCTCTGCCTTTTGAGAACAATTACTTGTGGGAGTTTGATATGTGAATCCATTCTGCCTCCCAAAGTGTAGAAGTCTTTTTTCGGTTAGTGAATAAAAGAAAATTATCATCTTTGCATTGTACTGTATCTATTTCTCAAAAACTTATTTTTTATCAAAAGACATTTATCACATAATATGATTTAAGGCATGCCCTGATAACTTGGTATTTTTGCTTATTACATTTGTAGATAATGTGTGGATGATGAGAGATCTTGTTCCATATAGAACTTATAGGATCCCAAATCCTAATAGGACATGATGGTGTGTAAATCCACACCCCTATTCAAATGTGGTGTCCTTCAAAAAAATTCTCAGAGATGGAATTTGAACCTAAAATTTAACATATCAATAATTTCAACCATCTCAATCATGAATTTGAAAAAAAAAAAAAAGATTTACAACACTAAAATAGACTAATTTAGATTTCGTTTCTAAACTACTAATTTTAATTATTCATAGATCATAAAATGTGCACTACTATCTTTAAATTGCAAGTCATGGATCTAAAGCAAAAATAAATCTAGAAATGATATGTTTCAAATCTTAAATCCATCTCCAACATGTTTATAGAAAGGGACCACATTGATAAGAACCCATTTAAACTTTTCTTTATCCTTCATACATCTTTTCCAAATTGGACACTCACAGCATTTAAGTTTGTATGCATGGGCTCCCGCATGTGGTGCGGCGCATGACTCGTGGCACCAAATCTCTGCTCGGGATAAAAGCAAATCACCCTTTCTCATATTTTTCCCTTATATCTGAAAGCAGTGATTACCATATAAGCAGGCCATCATATTTTAGGAATCGGCCTCAAACCAAATATTCAAGCTATTAGATATGTCATCTTAACACTCATCATCTTTAAAGCCTTTTCGCAACTAATTGAAGTTGGTATACGAATCCTAATCAGCCATCTCAACACTCTTACATCGTACATGGTACACCACACAACATCCATCCATCCTTATCAATGAACACTGAAAACTGGCTGCATTACACGGCCAGTGTTAGTATATCTATAACTGATGGACTCCATTCATCAATGGTCGATAAGTGATAGTTTTCACTCCCATTGGTCTCTAAGGCCATGTATACTAGGAAATGCTAAGTGATAGTTTTCTAATAATCTTTGCATCATCTTTGATCAATTGCGTAGCAAAACGAAATTTTGAGCCCTTAAAGAACAGGATTTCATTAGATTTGGAGCATTAAGTTTGTATGCATGGGCTGCATGTGGTGCGGCGTTGGACACGTGGCACCAAATCTATGCTCAGCATAAAAGCAAATCCCTCGTTCTGATATTTTGTCCTTATATATGAAAGCAGTGATTACCATATAAGCAAGCCATTATATTTTGGGAATCGGCCTCATACCAAACACCTAAATAATGCGTAAAGTTAAATTTTTTTTTCAATTACACGAATCCCGGTCCACCATCCAAACACTCTCATATAATATACGATACACCAAACGACATCCATCCATCCTTACATATGAACATTGGAAACTGGCTGCATTGCCAGTATAAGTATATCTATAACAAAGGAGCTCCATTCATCAATGGTGGATAACTTATAGTTTTGAAACACTCCCATTAGTCTCTAAGTGCATGTATGCTGGGAAATGCTAACTGATAGTTTTCAAATGATATTTGCATCATGTTTGATCAATTGCATTGCAAAAAGAAATGTTGAATCCTTAAATATCAGGATCTCATTAGATTTGGAGCATTTTTTTAGCTGCAAAAAGAATCTTTTTTCTTTTTTTTTCTAGAAAATTGGGCAGGGGATCACCAATATTTGCTCCTAGGGAAGATATTTGCCTTTTGATTGTCATTTGAAGGTCTCAAGGGCATTTTCAAATTTGGCACACAAATTCCTCTAGATCATTCATTTTTGATATAAGGAGTTCACAATCGTCATTGACCAGACTTAAAATTAGGTTGATGAAGATGCATCATTATTTGGGTACAAAATTCGAAATACAATTTTTTAATACTGTGATACACTTTTATATGTTGGATTTCACATTCAATGGCTAAAACTCATTGTGACCTCGTACTAAAAATAAATAAATGGCCTCATAGTATGCAAAACATCCAGAAAGCTTTATAAAAGAATAAAAATAAAATAATTATAATTTGTTTATTTTTATAATGAAAATAAAATTAAATGGAGGCCCGGTGGAGTTTTTTTTTTAATACTAAATTTTGCGAACGACCTCAATGTAACTAACAAATATTTAAAAATATTAATTTGGAATTTTTAAAAGGCCAAATCTAGCCATCCATGAAATTGAAAAGAATAAAAATAGAGTAATTATAATTTGTTTATTTTTATAATGAAAATAAAATTAAATGGAGGCCCGGTGGAGTTTTTTTGTAATACTAAATATTGCGAAAGGCCTTAGTGTAACTAACAAATATTTAAAAATATTAATTTGGAGTTCTTAAAAGGCTAAATCTAGCCATCCATGAAATTGAATGGGTAGTGGTTATATATCGAATTGGAAAACCATCTTTTTACTTCTTTTTAATTTGAAATGTTGTTCATAACCGGCCAAGATATGTGTGTAAAATTTGAGGCTAAATAAATCTTGGAGTCCCAAATAGGGAAGACATACCAATAATTCTTATAACGCTGAGATCTAGCTCAAAAAATTGAATAGTATTTGGTCAATCTTGAGACTTTTTTTTTCTCAGGCGCATAGAGTGTGTAATTTGAGATTTTTAATTGAAATTAGTCAATGAATAAAAGAGGCTGCATTTCTTAAAGGTGTGGTAAACAATCTAATTAAGGCACACCTACAAATTTTATTATAGCATGTAATTTTGGTGTAAAAATTCTTACGATTATCTGAAAATCTATTTTTATATCTAATTATAAAATTTTAAACTCCAAAAATAGTTAAAATCAAGTAAATATATAAACATATGAAAATATTGAAAATAGATGGTATAGATAATATGATGCTAGGTGCACTATTTTTGGAACTTAAAATCTCTTTTTTTTTCATATTTATATATCTCAATGTCTGATCAATTAGACAGTTTTTCAACGTTAAAACAACCTTTTCCGATAAATTTTTTATGTACATATTTAATTCTACATTTTAAGATAGCAACCTTATATCAACTTTTTTCATGCGGAAGATTGGTTTTTCCCCGTGGGAATAAACAGACAATACACTCTCGCGTGGGAATATGAAACTTTTTGTTATAAAATGTGTACTCCCATTGGGGACGAAAGGATATATATAGCATTATGGGATTTGTTCGGGTGATTTACGACATTTACACAATATTATGCCCCTATATAACGTATGGGGGGCGGAGGGCTTGAGAAGGAAAGTACCGACTGAACGGAGGAAAATGTGCGGTGGAGCGATTATTTCCGATTTTATCCCGGCTAATCGTGGCCGTCGGACTCCAAATTCCAGCGATATATGGTCGGATTTCAACCGCTTTCTCACCGATAATGGCTTTGGCACGTTCTATGATGATGAAGACCACGGCATCAATGGCTCTGATTCATCGGATGACATCGCTTCCTTTCGTCAATCAGGCTCCTTCATTGGTTTTTCGGGTAAGTTTCGGCAAACTTCTTTTTTAATTTTTTTTTTTCTTTTTTTGTGTTCTTGAGTTTTCTTCAGCTAAAATGTATGAAGGCATTTTTCTGAACTTCAGGGGAGTTTTGGGATGGTTTTATTTTCTGGGTTTATGAAAAAAAAAAGAAGGTGATTTTGTTATTTTGACTTTTCAAAATTCAGTGAAAATAAGAGTTCGGTAAGAAAATGGGAAAATTCTCAGGTTTTTTTTAAAAAAATGTGGGATTTTTATAGTTTGCATATTTTTAATTTTCTATATTTTTTGCATATAATAAAATTTGTGCTATTGCCAAAGTACTCTCCTGAAAATAATTACCAGCAAAAAAAAAAAAGGAATACATTTGCTGAGAAGCGTTTGTAGACGGAGTAAACTGAAAGTGTTTGCTGATTAGAGAGAGAGACGGTTGTTTTTTTTTTTTTGTACTACTTTTTTCCTTTATTTTATTTTATTTTATTTTATTTAGAGAGAGATTATTTTGGGGAAGTACTCTGGAAGTAAGTTTTTATTAAAAATTTCAAATTTTTTTTAAAAAAATCTTTTTCATAAGTGGAAAGCTCCGAAGGGTCCCTAACATTTCACTAACTCCAAGCAATGGAGGACAAATTCTTCATTTTTCATATTAAAATACTTTGCAAATCATTTCGTAATAAAGGCGAAATATTTATTTCCTGCATATTTGATACTATATTTGGAAAAGTAAATAGCTTCACGCCTTTTTTTTTTTTTCCTTCTTTTATAATGATCTTGATCTCAGAGGATAAGACGATGGATCTGCAAAATTTATCCATCTCAATGCATAATCATAACGAAATTACCTCAAAGAAAACTCAAATCTATGATAAGTTACTACAGGGAACAGCGCATGTTCTAAAGAGAGAATCTGGAAATAAGTTTTTAGAGAGAGAGAGAGAGAGATTACTCTTGAAAATGATTTCATTTGGAGAGAGCAAACTGGTGAAAGGGAGAGAGAAGTTTTGGATCTCTCTCTCTCTCTCTAAAATTCCTCTCTGTCTCTTTCTAAGTTTGGATCTCTCTTTCTCTCTCTAAAATCCTCTGAATTTCCTTGCAGGCCTTTCTAAAAAGCCCATGCCCAAAAAACCAGCAAAAACCCCCACAAAAACCCGAAAAACCTCATACCGAGGGATCCGCCGCCGTCCATGGGGCAAATGGGCGGCCGAGATTCGGGATCCAAGGAAAGGCGTGAGAGTGTGGCTGGGGACTTATAGCACGGCTGAGGAAGCCGCCATGGCTTATGATGAAGCTGCCAAAAGGATAAGAGGGAAAAAAGCCAAGCTCAATTTTCCGGCCGAATCCAAGTTCCCGGCGAAGTTTCCGGCCAAACCCAACTTCCCGGCTAGCCTCCCGGCGTTAGATAATCCAAAGGTTGAGACCCAACTTGAGGGTGGGGTTTCAATGGAATCGGCGGCTCCACAGCCGTCGGATACCCTCGTGGATGGATGTGATATTTTTGGGTTGAATGCGCACGTGGGGATGGAGGGGGAGCTTGCACATGCACTGGGATCTGGGCCGTTCGTGGATGAGATGCACGGTGGGATGGATCTGTGGACGTTTGACGATTTTGGCATTATGTGATTAGAAATAATTGACATTTTGTTGGATATTTGGAGTCTCTTGAAGTTTTGGGGTTGCACTATGATGTTTTCAGAGTTGGGGAGGTGTATAAATAGATCTCTTTATATATAGGGTATATATTCTATTTATACAGTATTATAAATACACACCAACTAATCAATACTTAGGTGGTAGGTATGTTTATTTGATGCTCTCTCTCTCTTAACTACTAATCCTTTTGGAGTGCATTTGATGTAGCTATCTATCTATCTCTCTTGTGATAATAATATGTGCTCTCTTTTTTTTAATGTTGTAATAATAATATGTATCTTTCTATGTAGGGTAAGGTTTGTATAAGGTGCTCACCTTATACTGTACAAGTAAGGCGCACTTTTAAATTTTGCCGGAAGATTTAGTTTCAGTATCGAAAACTTTACCGTGTCTTAAAAGTCCATGTTCGATTCTAATTATGAAATTTGAAATTTAAAATTTAAAAAATATTGCAGATTGAGCTGGTCAATAAACATTTTAAATCCCAAAAATAGATAGTCTGGATGATTTATTACAAGGTGCACTATTTATTAGACTGGGTTGAGAGAAACAACTGGAAAGTTTATCAACTTGGAAACACTCTTTTTTACTGGATTTTTAAGGCACAATCTTACATGTACACTATAAGGTTGCAATCTTATGCAAACTTTACCTTGTGTGTATTCTAATATTTGTTAGTATAGTGTAAGGTTGCAATCTTTTACAAGCTTTTCCCTTCTGTGTATTCTGATATTTATCTCTCTATAGACTACCAATCCTTTATTTCTACGTACTCTTGTGGAAACGAGATTTATTTTATTCAGCTCTCTTTCTCTGGTAAAAGCTTTTGTATGGCATGCACCTTTTGTTTCAGGCTTTTCAATGCAACTTTATGTAACTTTTTTAAGGGAAAGCATAGCAATAGCACACGACTGCTTTTTTTCATTGGCCCGACAGGCAAGCAATCCATTTTGTTCTCAAGATGCACGATATGTGAGAATTATTGTACCCAAGTCCGGGTAGAGGAGGTTGTTTTTAATCTATAGGCAGCCAATGCCAAAAAAAATTTATGAATCCTGATGGTTTTACGAAAAATTATTATTATTATTAGTTTTAGTTTTTTCCAAAGTTAATTTCTGACCTTTTCCATTACCTCCTCAAATGCACAATCGTTTTTTTTATGCATTGTGGACCAAGAAATGATCCACCCAATCCTCAAATACATTACTCCCTAATTACAATCTTTATACAACAATCAACGCAATTACATTTCAGTCAATTATTATAATAAAAAAAAGTTGCAATATTTTATCAATATCTGTTAACACAACTTCTAACCTTTGATTCGTCAAATATATTAAATTTCACGTCCCAATGTATTAGATTTTATATCTAGCAGTCATGGGTAATTGGGACCTTATACCAAAAATAAGTGGTCTCATCCTTCTTTATTTTAAACCGTCTCTCAGAAAAACTCTAATTTTAAACATCTCTTCAAAAAAAATCACAAGCATGCAAAAAAATCTCTTAACATGCAATTTTCACCATACGTCTCTCTCTCTCTCTGTAACATCTCGAAGACGGGCCTTGCATTGTGATCTACACTGCGCATCTCGAAGACAGGCCTTGCATTGTAATCTAAAAGCCAGCGGAAAATGAAAGAACCAAACCAAAGGTTACATGACATCAGCATAGAACAGGAATTGGGGCACTAGCTAGTATTGAAAATTCACCTGAATGTGTTTCACTACAATCGTAACTGAATTTTATCAAAACATAGGGCTCAGGGATACACTGATAGTCTCAGTCTCTTTGTTGTTTCTTTTTCATATTCTTGGGTAAGTTTGATTTGCCAATCAAATGACTCCCAAAACTTTTTGTTCTATAACATAAATTGGGCACTTGAAGTAAAGTATTTTAAAGGCTTGTTAGTCTCAATTTTTATTGGAAAAAGTTTACATAAGTTGACACCTACCTCTAAAATCCTTACAAAAGTTGGTTTGATGTTGAAAAAGCATCTCTAATCGATCATCTGCACATCCAGATGTATAGATGTAGCAAAAATAAAATAGAATAAAAAATTTCAAGTCCTAAAGGTAGTTCGTCTTACCTCACATTATATGGACCATCCAATTTCAAGATTTTCATATATTTAAAGATCTACTTATTTGATCCATTTTTTAAGTCTAAAATTTTATAAAAAAAAATAAAAATAGATGCTCCCACCATCTTAAGAATCCCCGATAAAGTTTGGGGATGCACCTTTAATTTGATTGTTTAATGTTGCAACCTCATGCAAACAACACCCTTTTTTATTTGTTCCACATTAACCATCAATAAATTTTTAGTGCCATTTTTGTATACAAAGGGAGGTACCTCTAATTTATTTTCATTTTATCTGGAAAATTTTTCAGACAATGGTTGCATTAGATTTCGAATTTAGTACAAGGACACAAAGGAAATAACCATTTCTGCAAATTGAAAACAAAGGCATGCAAGCAAAGAAAGAGATAGAAGAAGAAAATGGACACGGGTGAAATTGAATATATTTCTTATACCCGCAAAAAAACTTATATTATATATTACAAATGGACCCATAAATAGGGCTTCTCTTCTCACAAATCATCAAAAAGAAGAAAAAGGACCAAAATTACAAGCGGTGAGAGACTGTCAATGCCTGTGAATAACCATTTCCCATTTTTTGGGTCTTTCGAGCTGAGGCACCACGAAAATTGGAGGCACTACACCTTGGGCAAATATACTCCAATCCATCTGTCTTGGCATAATCCTGTCCATAAATTAACCCAAAAATGGCTGCTAAGTGACAAAAGGTCGAAAATTTGCCAAGACAATACGCGTTATCAGGAACCATCACAAAATTCTGGCTGGTCTAATTCAATTTATTTTTCTAAAAAATATTTATCTTTTGTCTGAAAGTGGGTAAGTTAGAATTTAAACCTTGAGGCATTGTGTAGCCCCTTGAAGAGGAAACCCCAACAGGCAATCAGGAACACTTTCTCAAAATTTGCCATTAACAAAAAAAATATATATAAATTTTGATTGAAATTTCAATTTCACTGCTATCCTATTTTGAACTTGCAAAAAGGAACTCCCCATCCAAAAGTGTGAACAGTAGGAATAGACTCAAGGCTAGGCTGATAGGGGCGGCGAAGTGCCACAGCGTGAAGTCTTGATTCCATTCCTACCACGGGAGGGGAACCTTCTCCCTATTGAACTACCCGAAAAGAAAAAAGAAAAAAAAGTGTGAACAGTAGAGATGACATATATGATACATCATACTGTCTTCTAAAAATCTTTGGTATATCATAAAAAAAATCTAAAAGATGGTATATCGTCAACATATCTTTTTAAGATAAAAGTACATGATAAAGACACATGTTATATTATCTTGCGATTTTAAGATAATTTAAGGGATTCATCAATAAGTACTAGTGAATTCAATTGACATATCAAAAATGTTATAGCACGACTAGATCTTACGAAAACAGACTAGATTAACCAATCTCGGACAATCCATAACTGTGATAAGATAGAATAAAAAATAGAGCAAACCATCTCCTCAAACCAACTTAAACTCGGAAGCCATGCAACGGGAGTCAAAAGAGCCATCACATATGAGGTGAAAAGTGACTCACCTTAAATGCACCAAGGCCTAGCCGTCTGTCGCAGCCAAAGTGGGCCCATTCGCCACATATCCCACAGTTCACCCAATCTCCAGCCGCGCTACTGAAAGATGTTCATATCCCAAATCTAATAATCAGTATCACCACCCTTGGAGTAGAAGTAGGAGTAAAAATAAAATTGGGCTCAGTTTCTGATAAGCCTAGTAAAGATCCTGGACTAACTTGCCCTCTCATCTCTCTCTCTCTCTCTCTCTCTCTCTCTCTCGGCAAACACCTTCCATACATGAATTTAACTGTGGAGAACCAGTGTATATGGTAGTTCCTGTAGAACCTCGTTCTAGATGTTCATTTTTCAAACACCAGTAAAATTATACAAGTTCTTTCTTGGACAACTTTAAACCGTAGCATTTCTGCACAAAAAGAAATGAAAAGAAATAGAGAAATTTACACATGTATTGCCCACATTTTCCATCATTAACCACTCCCCATCCCTGCACCCCACCCCTCTCCTTCCCTTAAAAATAAAAAGGTTCTTTTTTTTACGTGCATACCCTTTTACATATCGTTTTTTTCTTCTTCCCAATTTGCCACCCCTTAGGAACTTCAAGATCCGGAATCATAAAGTGGTTTTATGACATCAGATCTTAATGATCCAAAGTCAAACCCCCATATGCCCTTTTTCGCCTGAATCGTTTTTTTCCCTCTCCATTTTGCCACCAATTCAGATTTGACTTTGGACCTTGAAGATCCGAATTCATGTATATGGGACATGACTTCAGATCTTCAAAGTCCAAAGTTATGTATAAAAGACATGTCCGAAGTCATAAATGAGACTTTGGAAGGGGCCTGATTTTGTATCATAAAATGGTTTATCACTTTGGATCTTGAAGATCCGAAGAAGTGGCGATTTAATAATAGAAAAAGGAGGAAAAAATGAGCACATAAGTTTAAAAAAAAAAAAATTTGGGGACATTTTTTAATAACAGTTATTGCGGAGGATTAGGAGTAAATTTCTCAAAGAAATATGAAAGAATTTATTTGAGAGGAACTAATGGTTGGTAACAGACCTGTGACACAATAAGCAACATTCACCATCGACATCATCATGTGCAAGCTCATACTCCAGAAGGTATGTCTCATAATGTCTTTTCAATGTGTTCCCAACACCCTGCATCAATTAGATAGCATGAGTATTTTTTTTTGTAATTACGAAACTAAATTACGATATTTTTGGCTTTTTCCTGAATGATATTGTTATTTCGTAGGTGTAGAAAATTAGATATTGAAAATCAAGAGCTGATAATATACAACCAGACCACTAATAACACAAGCATACATGCATGCATTATATGAGAGAGAGGGAGAGAGACACAGAGAGAGAGAGAGAAGAGAGTTTAATACTAAATTATATAGTAAATACACTCATGGACATATTGAGTATATACAATCATTGCATCTTGAATCTTGTATTCTCGTATATTGCAGTGATGATATTCAAAATACATCACCCAAGGCATTACACTACAAAGATCACACCGACACTTTCTCAAAATCACATTAACACGTACCCATAAACAGAGCCTACAGTCAGGAAAAATGCAACTATACGGTACATGTCTGCAAAGGTGGAAAGGTCATGACTAGTAGATTGAATGCAGGGGAGTCTATCTTGGTGATAAATTTAAAGTATACCTCCTTCCCTCCCTCCCCTACCACTCACGCCACTTTCCACCTCCCCAACCCCCCAAAAAAAAAAAAAAAAAATTCATATGGCACTCATGTGTACAAGGGTAAGATCATTTTCCGATGTCTTCCTTCTGATTCTAATATTTTAAAATTTTATGCATTGCAGTTGAGAAGGTAAGATACAGGAAATACCGTCATTCTGTTGGTTGTTGTATGGTTACGCATCTTTGAGAAAACCTGTCCCTTCCAATTAATTCCATTCCCGACATTGAACCCTCCTCTAGAAACAACCTGACAATGCAAAACATAGTTAACATTAACAAGATTGCCAAAAGAACACCGTATATAGCTCATGGCTATAGAATCATAAAATAATAACAGTAATGATATGCAAAATGTTCATATGTATGATTAAAATTGCCTAATCCATGGGTAAGAACAATGGTAAGAAAAAATGCATTCAAGTAAATATCATAGAAATGAATTATTAAAAATATCATATAAATACAATGTAAAAGAAAAAAAGAAGCCAATTTGAGAATAAAATAAGGGATTCCAGAGTTCCAGATATACCTCTTATTTTACAAAATTGTCAAAAAACTTTAATGCAAACCCTAAAGTCATCTGTCAAAAATAATGGGTTTTCCATTGTTTCTGGAAAAATTGACAAAATAAGAAGCAACTATTAAATACTAAACAAATGGGAAGATACATCAACTGGGTGAGATTTAAGAAACTCCTATACAAAATGTGCGCACAGACCATTTTCTGGAAAAAAGAAGATGACAAGGTATTAAACAGGATTTAATGTAAAACCATATGTTCTTGAAGGGGATACAAGCATAGTCAGGTACACTGGCAATGAAACTAATAGAAACAACATTTAAACCAGAAGTAGAAAATTGTGCCTGAATTGAAGAAATGGTGAAGATATTTATGCTGGAATATATGAAGACAGAATAGGCCTGAGCGAGAAAGGGTAGCAACCTCTCTATAAAGATTGTAAAGGTCCAAACGCTTAGCATTAAGGATGGCATCAGGAAACTCTGCCAGTCCACCTGCAGGAACAAGCCGCGTGTGACCCCTAAGGATGAGAAATTGCATAACATCCCTCAGAAATTCCTCCTGCAAGGAATGATTCCAGGAAGATGAGAAACCACAAGTCAGATTAACAACCAATCTAAAAAGAAAAAAAAAAGGAAAGCAAGCGGTACATTCCAAAGAATGACGTCAAGATCAATGCCCAAAATAATTTCTTTTGATTAAGTGCACATGTGTGCATACATCACTAAGAATGATGTCAAGCTCACAACACCAAATAATTTTTGATTTGCCGCATGTCTATGTGTGTTTGACTGTGTGTGTGTGTGTGTGTGTGTGTGTGTGTGTGAGAGAGAGAGAGAGAGAGAGAGGCCCAAGATCATCATGGAGCCACTTACTTCAGAGCACTCTTGGATGGGACCTCTGCTGCACCCATGTTTCTTCAATGGCAAAGGATTCAATGAAACAATCTGTTGAGCCTGAAAGGAGCTTGTTAGATTCTTGCGATGAGACACAGGGGCAGACGCCCCATAATTATGCTTCACGGAAGCCACAACTGGTCCACTAGCCTTCAATGGACTACCATCATGTGGGTCCAGTTCTGGCACTCCAGTAAAGGGAAGAAGCTTGTGCCTTCTGCTATGAGGAATAGGCCTCAAAGCACGAAGCACCATTCTCTTCCTAGTTGGCAGTATTGAGCCATTCTCTTCAATCTTCAACTTGGGCTCTTCTTCATTAACATTCTGAAGCACTTTTTGCTCAATTGGTGACCGAGGTGGTGTATTCTTTTCATCCTTTAACTTGATTCGTTTACGATCACCCTGAACTTGGTTAGAAGTATTTGTTGTGTTAGAACTACCAGACCAAAGGTTCAACCTTATTTTTCTAGGGGGTGTGGGTCTTAACCAGTTAGCAGGGGTTGATAAGGAGTTTCTAAAAAGTTGCAGCAAGATATCTGAGCTCTTCCCCTGTTTTGTGCAGAAGAAAAGAAGGCGGTCAGCATCAGCTTTCTCAAAGGAGGCAACAGGTGTCCCCTGAATACTAGCAATGCCAAGTGTAACCAAGCTGCGGTAAGGAATTTCTGGGGCAAGCTGACACAGAACCTGTAATTAAACAATGTCAAAAAAACACGTATGATACAAATTGTCGCTAAATATTTATATATCTGCGAACAACTATCTTCTCAAATAAAGTTTTTTTTTCTTTCCATTCGCTTTTTCCTGCTTAGTAAGATCTGTGCGATTACCACCTCTCTGGCATACTTTGGTCTTATGGTGTTATCTAAGCACAAATCATTTCTCTCGTGATTAAGGACAATTAATTCCTTGCATTAAGATTTGTAAGTTTTTTCTTTATTTTTTATGATTATAATTGTCCTTTGGCTTAATTTTTTGGCTAATTATGGTGGTTATCACAGGGAATTTTCATTATAATATAGCACTTTGACCAATGCAATGTTTATGTTTCAGATACCACTCAATTACTTCTTTTTGTAATTCCTCTCTTTCGAGGTTAGAATGTGATGACTCATGCATCTTTACCCAAATGTTGATGAGAATTAAGAATCGTTACAAATTCAAAGTTCTACTGTATTTTCAAATATAATCAAAATGTCCTTAGTCAAATGAACACAACCATGTTAGGTTCATAACTGACTTTTTTTTCTTTTTTTGAATGTTAATTTGGGACCTGGTGAGAATGGAACTTTGGATGTCACACTGTGGCACTGCCACCCTGACCACCTCCTGCCCAGAGTCCAATTCTTAGCTAATATGAATATTGTGATTTCCCCCAAAACTATCACATTTCCTCTTTGGAAATTCATCATTCCGTTGTTGTCAGACTAAGCTGGGCTTCAAACTGTGGACTGTGGAACTTAGTACCTCTCAGGCTTTCCCCCGTCTGTTTCTCTTATTACAAACGGTAGGTTCTTTATAATTACAACTTTCTTTAATATGTACTAGATCCACAATCCCACCAACTTCTATCCACGTCAACAATCATGTGAAAGAAAATAGGTGTCATTAATGCATGCAACATGTCAACTATGATGAGAGAGAAATAACGTTTGCAACATATTAACCTGCGCAGCCCATGATGGAACCTTCATCCAAACTTCAAATACTGCAGCCCCACAAGCTACACAAGCAGATTTCCGAGGCACAGATAAAGATGGTTTGCTTTCTTCACAACTGGGCAAGGCACGGACCAAAGGACTTTTCTCTATAAGTTCGTTCTTTATATGGCATTCTAGGAGCTACACATTTCAAAACAAAACCCAATCAAATATCAATTGCATCAGACACGCGCCATGTGCGCACACACACAAGGATACACACAAAACCACACTCACAAATGCACATATAGAAACCCACACAAAAACACGTGTGCAATTAGATCTTGGCACACAAACAAGGGATTTGATAGGATACACCTGTTAGAAATCAACATAGAGTGCACCAAAATGGAACTTGAACACTCTTACAAGTGCAAATCACTTCTGGGATGGGCTATTTTAAATGACTCGATAAGGCAAACAATGGAATATACTATAGGAACAAAGGTATTGATGCTGGGTATCTCAAAACTTATTGTGCTGAAATCAGTCCCAGCAAGCATTATATGTATGTTAGCCCAACCATAATATCATGTTCCTGATTAGTGATTTTGAAATTCTGTGGTATTACATAAATCATCCAAAAAATGACTTTCATTAGAGGATATCCAATGTCAAAACAGTAAATTAATATGAACTTGGTAATATGTGTGTATGTGCATTCCTGTTTCTATTGTCATCTCCATGAAACAAAACATTCCAACATAGCACCAATAGGCAATGTACCTGTTCATCGAAACACGTTTGTGCGCTACCAGATACCAAAAGTGATAACCGTGCAGAACTACATGTTGATAGGTCGCATCGCATTGTTATAACTCCACGAGAAAAGGTTCCAGCAGCTAAAGGAGGAGGAAGGGCACTGCAAGAAAGTATTGTATGATTATAAAGGAAAACTAGAAATCCAGATAATAAGAATCTACCCCCCACCCCCCAAAAAAAACCCCTTCTTCTAGAAACAATCATATGATCAAAGGCAACTAGATCATTAAGAATGAGATCTCCTTTTTCAATGTCAATCCTTTTCTGGCTAGTGTGGTTTCGGGCATTAGATGACGGTCAATCATGCAGGTTTACCATATTCTAGCAATAACCAACAAACCAACATACTGCCTCCACAGAGAATATTACACCAAACAACTATAACTATCCTAACTTTCAACTTTCATTTTTAGTACTACAAATGTGATAAAGCAGAGATCAATCAAACGAGGTTTATCCTTCTTTTTTTCTTTGATAAGTAAGAAGTCTATCTTTCTTTTTCCTCATTGAGTTAAACTTGCTTTTGGTTATCATTTTAAATCAATAAAAAATATTTCCTTTTAAATTAAAATGATACCCAAAAGGAAGTTTGTAATTACGGGTTTTGATAGCAAGCTGTTTATGCAGAGAAGATTCTAGCAATGAAACATCAGTAAAAAAATCTGATATATCAAACCGCAAATTAATTTTCATATCACACAACAGGGTGGACCAGTCACCTGACACGGTTATGAAGTTTGCTCCCACGTATCTGAAAAAGGGCAGTACAGTTATCAGTGTCATGAAAATATGCTATGCCAAAAATATTACTACGTAGAGTGTGGCAAAACAGAACAATTTAAAATGCAGCATCGGGAGAAAGCTTAGTATGGAATAAGGAGTATAATTTCTAAATTTCTGTGAAACTAACTGGTCTCTATATATACACTTCAATAATCATCGAGATGAACCAAGGTTTAATAATATATATTTAGGGAAAATAAAAGTGATTATTAAAATTCGATCATTACACATCCTGTTGTTCCAAGGCAATGTAGTAAGAAAAGACAGGCAGTGACACAAGTTAAGAATTGGAATGGCGATCAACACTTTTTAGAACCTTGAATTCTAAATGCTGCCCAAATAAAAATATCAACGGACAAGCTCCCACATCAGGTCATCTAAGCCCCTGCAGCAAATAAATTTGGCCAAATTTTTTTTTTGTTTGAAACTGACTTTGGCTGAATAATTCCATACAAAGCTAAAGGGAAACTGGGACATGATATGCCACAAAATATTGTGCTGAAGACTTCTAACCCATGATTGCATTTTCAAGAGCACGACAATGAACAAAACAAGTTCTCAAAATGACTAAGATAGGAACACGTGGAATGCCTATCAACAGTAAATCTGATGAGAGCCTCAACAAATTTTAATACACAATTAAAGACAACTAAGGAATTTGCATCCAAATAATTAATCATTATCATTGCACAAATCCAACTCACTTCAATACTCAAAAGGGCATTCAGGCCATCTTCTAGAGATCCCAACAAACATGCATCCTGCAACAAAATAGCACATTATTCCAAGCATATTACTTCAAATGGGCAAAATATACAACACAATGGGAAAGTATAGCACAGTCCAATGTATTTAGTATAGATAACAAAGCCACATCCAACATTTGATCCCACTGAAAGATGGTTGGAGACAAAGCATGCTTAGCTATCTCCACAGGCCCTATGCTAGATTACCAGCTAACCATCAACCATTGTAGGTGGGAAAGGCCAGTGGATATAGCCTTAAAGTACCATCTACAAATCCACTAGACTGTGGCATACATTCTCCATTGTAAACTAAAATAAGAGGGAGGTCATCCTCACCAATGTGCATGGCTCTCCACAAACAAGAAATCTAAGGCTCACTTCATCATCATAAATCTTTATTGCGGAAAGTGTACTCGGTGAGCCTTCACTTTCACCTGTATCTTGGAGAATTGGCGTCAATATCTTTGGAGCTTCCCCAAGAAGGCGTGGCCCGAGCTTACCACTAACTTTTTGACCATTGAGAACTAGGTTATGGTTGTTCCGAACACAATAAAGTCTGAATGATGCTTGTGCGAGTTGGAAAACATCCCATGTATGACAGCTTGAACTGCACAGTTTAAAATGATAAACCATTATACCTCAAGTTCCATTTTCTTCTCTTCTTTATGAGAGGGTGCATCTCCAACAAGTGGTTAATGCGAAAGTTTGCGTTAATAAATTTGCTTTATGCTCATGCATGCATATGCAAGAGAGGAGCGAGGTTTCTCCTTTAGAGAGAGAGAGAGAGAGAGAGAGGTAGAAAGAGAGAGAGAGCAGTTCTGATAATGAGAAATTAGAGAAGCCAGATTGGGTTTTGTCAATAGTGGATGATTTTACTTTGGTAATAGAGATAAAGCTATCTTCATGGAGACTTCCATCATTTTTTTATTTTTTTTCCTACAATGAGTGCAAAATTCTACTTGGAGACCAAAGTCATACCTCTGCAACGTAGATACCAAGGCTTGCCGAAAATGGCAAGCTGCATAGCATGAAAAAGAATGCCTCCAATATATTACATATGGGACACCCTGCCAACAAATATAAGTGATTCAGAATCATTATGGCCTTTAAAATCATACATGACTACATGTGGTCCAAGATCTGCCAAATTTCACATGGTAAAGAACCTGGTGCATTGTCAAATTATTAAACAGAAAGATCACACATCAACAAACTGACATTATATGGGATATTCCTAACCTTTTTGGGAGTCGCTGTCCTTTCCCAAGATGAAAAAAATCCAAAAAACAAAAGAAGAAAAAAAAATTCCAGTAGCTCTATCAGATATCTCATCAAGGAATTATTTCAATTCCATAAGTTTTTCTTTCTTTTCTCAAAACAAATTCTAAAATGACAAACGTCCCATGATATTTCTTGCATAATCAATGCACCATATTTATTTCGGTACCTTGTGCAAAGGAAGTCTTATTTTTTCAATATTGTCATACACCTATAAAGTCATAGTTTTTTACATTCAGTTAGTTCTATGAAAGAAAAATACATTATTTTTAAGTTACAAAACATGACCTACATGCCATCACTATAAACTCTGTAGTTGATATGTGTTTCTCTTTTTCTTTAACTTTGTTTTGGACTTTCACAACAATTGGGTTTTAAATAGATAATAGAGTATTCTATTAAATAAACTTTGTGATGTTTCGGGCAACAAGAGCCTTCAACTAGTTTCTGTCTTTTCTTACAAGTTCCTTGAACTAGTTTTGTTGAAGAACAACTTTGTTTTAACATATTTCCAGAGGGAAAAAATCTCACACAAAGAAAACAAAAATGCTATTAAAATCTCAGCAGCCAACAAAGAAAATGAATAAACCATATACAAATTCCACAACAACAAAATTCACCTTGGAGTGCAGTGCCTCTGCCAATTTTTCACCATTTGGTATCTCCAAATAAACCTGCAAGCCATTTTCACTTGCTTAGACCAAAAACCAAAAATATCACATAGTGACTGTGAGATAGAACCACCAGGTGAAATAATCATGGAGTGGAAAGGTAAAACACACAAACAACCACTAGAAGAAACAGTAGAGGAACATAAAATTTTCCTTTTAATTCACAAAGACTTGGGAGAACATGTATTTGGCATTATTATTGGAGGAATTACTCAGATATACGGAGCTCTACCCCGAGTGTATCAAAAACCCAATTCGGCTTTATGCCAGAGAGGTAAACAACTGAGGCTATTTTCCTACTTAGGCAACTGACTGAGAAGTTCAAGGCGAAGGGAAAAGACCTCCACATTGTCTTTATTGATCTAGAGAAATCTTATGATAGAGTACCTCGAGATTTGATTTGGTGGGTGTTGGAAAATAAAGGAGTCTTTAGACCCTACATTGACTTAGTTAGAGATATGTATGATGGGGTAATAACTAGTGTACGAACAACTAAGAGAGAGACGAGTAAGTTTTTAGTGCCAATAGGTCTACATCAAGGGGTCAGCATTGAACCCGTACCTCTTTGTCTTAGTTATGGATGACTTAACTAGGCATGATATTTGCATATGACAATTTTGATCGATGAGACCCGAAACGGCGTCAACACAAAGTTAGAACTTTGGAGGGATGCTCTAGAATCTAAAGGTTTTAAAATTAGCCAAACTAGGACAAAGTATATGGAATGCAAGTTTAATAATAATAGGAATAGAGACGAGGAAGTAGTTAAGAGTGACGGAAAACAAAATACCAAAACGAGCACTGTTTCGATGTCTTGGGTCGTTAATCCAAGAAAATGGAGAGATTGAGAAAGATGTTGCACATAGAATTAGAGCTGAGTGGGCAAAGTGGAGATATGCAAGTTCTATAGGACAGCTGTGAGACCAACTTTTCTCTATGGGGCGGTATGTTGGGTGGTCAAAAAACAAAGATCCATAGAATGAGTGTAGCAGAAATGAGGAGTGGCAAGACAATAAGGGATAGAATTCGAAACAAATACATTCGAAAAAATTTAAGTGTGGCACCAATAGGTGATAAGATGAGAGAGAATAGACTTAGGTGGGCTGGCTATGTGTGGCACAGACCCAGTATAGCACCCGTTAGGAGGTGCAAGTTAGTTCAAATGGAAGGCTCAAAAAGGGCAAGGCCCAAAAGGACATGGTTGGAAGTTATGAGAAAGGAAATGGGGACTTATGATCTCACTGAAGGTATGGCCCTTAATAGAGCAGAATGACGAACCAGAATTCGTGTAGCTAACCCCAATAGTTAGGAAAAGGCTTTGACGATGATGATACGGAGCTCTACCCCCCAACCTAGGGATTCAGTGTTCTTAATCTGGCAACTAGTCTATAATTCAAACTCCTTAGTTGCCAATTTATTGACGAAAGAAATAAATGTCAAACAAGAAACTAATGATGTTATTAGTGTGCTCACTAATTAAAACATGGGGCACTCACAAATGCAGTAAAAGAAAGTGGAAATGACGAGGAAAATAAAAGATATAGCGAGGGAAGCAAAAACCCTTTCAACACGTTTGGTTCATCAAAAATTTCTCTTCATGAGGGTGATTTCCGAGATATCGGCTTCATATCTTGCGAAGTATGAAATCGGTTTCACATGAAATGCCACTATTTGGTATAGCAGTGTTAAGATTTTAGATTTCCTAGGGTGCCTTTTTCCCATGTAACAAACATAGGAAGCAGCTCGGTCAACTGTATGAACCGTTATAATGTCTCGTGTATGCTCCATGTGAATAGAAACAGCAATTAATATGCAGTGATAATGCCAATTGAATAAACAAAAAAGGGTAATTAAATATCAAAGACGGAAGAAAAAGTCCCATGGGTCTGACATTCAGATACATAATCAAACCAGCATACCATGTTCAGCTTGAGTTTAATCTACGCAAGCTTAAGCTATAAATGAGATAACTAGGACTACAAATGAAAGAATTTGTCAAAAGAAATAAAACAAAAAAAATAAGGCTTCATTTGGGGCATGCTTAAGATCTAAAAATAAGAATAAGACCATAGGTGAATGAAGTTTTATTGAGCTATTATTGAGGAGAAATAAAAAAATAGGACTACAATATGCTCTCTTTTTTAATATAGGACTACAATATCTTATAATGCAAACATTATCACAACATGAAGACAAGCCAACCATCCATAAATTTAAGCTCTACTCGAGTAATTCCGTATGCACTTAGGTTCCTAATTTAGCTCATTCAGTTGAAATACTTCTTGCTCAGAAATCATCATGAACCACTAAACAAATTGGACCAGGCTCCAACAGGAGTTGTAGGATAGCAATTTGAGGAAGCCCCAAAGAAATTAATCCCCCAAAGAAACGTTAATTCCACAATCAACTATTTCATTCATCATAAATAAAAAGTAATGTAGCGATTTTTAGGGAGAAATAGTAGATATTTGAATTGGGTACCGTGGACGGTAATTTGGAACCAAAGAGTCTTGTTATGGCATCAGCTGAGGATATATTGACATCCCCCAAAACCAAAGGCCCAACTTCATCTTTATGCAAAGACTGCTCCCCTTGCAAGTAAACAAAATCGAAATCTGAAGACTCTAAAACACGTTTAAATTCTTCGCTTGAGGGATTAGTAATTATCTGAACCTGCATTCAATTTAATCCACATAAAAACGAGAAGAAAACTTAAAGAGTGAAGAACACACTCGAAAGGAAAGGTACAAATCAAATTTCAAAATATAAGCAGGCATTACTATGAAAACAATGTAGACATACACAATGATGATACCAAATTGAAATCAGAATCCTTGAAAGAAAGAACTTGAGGAGAGAGAGATAGAAGAGAGAGAGAGAGAGAGAGAGAGAGAGAGAGAGATATGAAAGCCAAACTTACAAAGAAACAAGCATAAGAAAACCAGACAAATTCAATCAAAATTTGCTAACTACATGAGACACTAAGAAGGATTCAATTGAGGCTAAGATAAAATCTCTAGAGAGAGAGAGCAAAACTAACCTCTAAACGGCCTGAAGAAACAAGTTCTGGGAATGGGTAGACAGGGCGATCCTCTGCATTCTCTTGCTTCTCCTTATCAGAGCGCTTACCACAAAGGACACCAAGAAGAATGCAAGACTGCTTTGGCACACTGTAAGTACCTTGGCCTTGTAACATTTTTTATACATGACCCCCTCTATGAAGAGATGGGAAAAACCAGAGGATTTCCTCTTGATTTTCAATACGAAATGGCACCTTAAAGCAACAAAACACTTAGCTCTCCTTCCCCGAATCTCAAAGAAAACTAGTTTACTAAGCCCTTTCTTGATTTTAACAGAAAACAACCAATTGCCATGAACGCAAACCCTAATCAATGGAACTTCCTGTAGACCTCACAATTGAAGCACAGAGAGAGAGAGAGAGAGAGATCCAAACTCCAGACAGAAACCAGAAAACATCAACTTTAAAAACCAATAAAAAAATTAAAAAAATATCCACCTGCAAAAAGCCGAATCAAACCCTAAAGACCAAAAAAACCAGGCATCAACCACCTCCAAACGCTCGACCTCTTTCAAAACAAAAAAACCCAATAGAGAAAAATACACAGATGAGAAAAAAATATATCCAACCAAAAAAACAGGAGAACAAAAACACCCCAAAAAATTCAACCTTCAACCACCAAGAACAAGCATAAGATAAACCTTGAGAGAAATCACATACCAAGAGGAAACCCACCGGAGAAAAACTACAAAACGATCCAAAATCGAAGAAAGCTCACAACTTCTCAGCACAAAGCCGCACAGAACAGTGGAGAGAGGCCCTCAAATCGCCCCCAAAATCAAGCAAAAAGGGATCCAAACCCTAGAGAACCAGAAAAGTAAAGCGCTAATGAAACCCTAATGCCTAGAAATCCCCCACCCAAAAAAGGCCACATATTCACACACACATAAAAACCCCAAGTCCTAAAAAACAATTATATAATAAGAATCCTTGCGTGATAAAATTCCACCTCTCGAAAAAAACCAAAAATCTCCTATTCATATGGGTTAATTTCCCTTTGTTATGGTGAATGTCAGTGGTTTTAGAGAGAGAAAGGTCAAAAAAACAAAAGATCAAAAGAAGAACATGCTCATAGTAATAATAATAAATGAATCTAGAGAGAGAAATCTATTGATACAAAGAAAATTCCCATTTTTTTTTTTTTTCTCTTTTTCATCCGTCCACGAGATTCGGGCATTAACAAAAACAAAAAGTACTTAGTTTGATGACAAAACGAATTTCCACAACTGTTTTAAAGAGTTCTCATTCATTTTTATTTGAATTTATAAAAATCCCTTTTTTCTTCTCCTTTTGCTTTTTTTAAAGTCTCTGACCCGATTGAAGTCCAGCGTTTCTCTCTCTAGAAACCATAACCATCCAATCCGTGGTTTCTTTGCCTCTCCCATATTAAGATCCATCCAAAGATTCTCTCTCTCTAAAAAGCATCTGAAATTTCTATATATAATATGCACCAAACAATTTCACATCTTATAACTCCTAAAAACATTGAAATTTGGGCCCCTCACTCTCTTGATCTATAATCTCTCATGCCTTTTATCTTGTTCTTTGAAGAAACAAATGACTGGAACTGACCCTCCCTTTACTGAAAGAGCTACGAAAACCCCACAAACCATGTGAATGGATCCACCGTCTAAAATGGAAATTCTAATATTTACATGGAATCAACAAAAAGACTTTAATTTTGGACTTTTACAAACAACTAACAAGCTACTTAGCCTACCCCTCTCTCTCTCTCTCAATCTAAAAATCAAAATCAATTGGTAAACTAGTAAATCATTAATAACAATAGTTGCGCCTCTCTCTTGCTCTCTTTCTCTCTCTCTCTCTCCATGAGAGATCCACACGCCCATATCCCTAGATCCCTATACCAGGGCTGGCCACGGGCCGGACCGTCCCTAGCTCTAGCCCGGCATGGATCCTTATACGACTGGTCCAGCTTGGCCAGACCTAAGGTCAAAGAAGCCTTAACCCTAGCCCAGTCAGCCTATTATGGCGGGCCAGTTGGGCTAGATAAAAACAAAAAAATGAATGCGAATAAAGAAAAAAAGAGGGCCAGGCAAGGCTGAACTAAGCCCGACCCTATCCTTCTAGGACTGGCCCTAGCTTATTAAGGCCAGCCAAGACGCATTGGGCCAGATAAAAAAAAAGAAAGAAAAAAAAATAAAGAAATGAAGTGGGTCGAGCAGGGCCGAACCTGGCCCAGCCCTCAAGGCATGCTAGGTTGCCCCGGGAGCAGCCCACGGGCCAAATTTTGACGCCCAGGCCTAGTTTTTTAAGGCCCAAAAAACCCAAAGGCTAAACACACAAATTTCTCATAAAATGGATTTATTTATACTTTCATAGTTTACCAGTTAGACAAAACTAGCCAATCGTTTGACCCTTTCATTTATGACATTTATTCTATGACTCTTTTTAATTATAATTTTTTCATTTAGTTTCACAGATCTATGCTACCATAAAATTATTTGATTTTTTCTTTTTTTTTAAAAACCTGTTCTATTTAGAAATCTATTTTTGACCATTTTTTAAAATTAAATTATGAATACTCGTTATTTAAAAAAGTAATTAATGTCAATTTAAAAAAAATGATATTTGAAATTTTAGATATAGGACTTGATATGGGAGCCCTTTGAGAAAGAATCCAGCATTTTTTTTTTTTCCTTTTTTTGCAGTTCAATATAGGAAAAGAATCCAATAATTGGTTAGAATTAAAGATAGCGTTAGGTTTAGTGAGAGGTTTATACATGTGGTTAGAGATAGAGATTGAGAATATGGGGAGACAAGGAATTCCACATTTATTTATTACTGTTTTTGAGCACTGGAGTGAGAAAAAAGTTATAGAAACTTAAAAGTCTTTTTGGAATATACGACATCTTGTTATTATCCCCATAAGCAATTTTCGTATTTATTTTGGTTAGTTTTAAAATAGGATAAAACAAAACATCATTGTGAATTTCTTTTCTTAGGAATAAAAGACAAATCTGACTTGCAGTTTAAGTTAATCAGCACCACATCTCATATATTTAAATCAACGCTACCATCTCTTATATTTTTAATCTCTCTCTCTCTCCTTTATTTAGGGTAATTTGCTGTAGGACCATGTCCAACGCACTTATCTTTGAGGAATTGATCTTAATTATTTAAAATTGAATTTTTATTTCGATTTTTAAATTTAGTTTTAAGTAATTTTTCAGCCCAAAAAAGACTATAAACTTGTTACGGTATTGCTTCTATTGCCTATTGATCATTGAAGTACAAGTTTTGGTAAATTGTTTTGATTTGAAATCAAAACGACGTCGACCACCCAACGCAATTGTTGGACAGGGTCAACTTAGTATAAGTAAGATAGAGAGAGAGAGAGGTCTCATTTATACTTGAGGGGTGCTATTAGTCTAGAATGAGGTTTCAAAATTAGTGAGCCGGACCAGCCGGTTCGGATTGTAATGGTCGGGCCTGGTCTACTTCTACCTAAATATTGGGAACCAGCTAGTTTTGGCTAGTTCTTTGTTAGAGAACCCAATTCGGTCAGAGAACCAATACTTTCTTTTTTTTTAATACTTTTTTATTTTTGTGTTCCCTATTGTTTTTAATTTTTTATTCACCAATTCATTAAGCTGGATCGTCGATCCAAACCACCAGTATGTCGATCCAAACTGGTTTTCTAGAGGGGTTATTTGGGTCACCTAACCATGATTTTAGACCTTGGTCTTGAATTTTGTTGGAATAGTTGGCAATGAGGCTATAACCGTGTTGACAAGTTGCATATAAGGTTATCTCAAAATTTGGGATTTCTCTCTACCACCTCTATTATTTTTTATTTTTACTCTTATCTCTGAAGCTGTAGTTGTAAAATATATATGATGTAAGGGAAACAAGGACTCATGAGATAATAACAAGCAATATCTCTTTTCATGGATGTAGGCAAAAACGTTCAACCACATAATTCTTTCTTCTCCTTATTTTTCTCAATATGGTATTCGAGCAGACAATTTTTCTAGCGCGAGAAAAGTAAAATACACCAGTCAAGACATTCACCCAAAGGTGTATCCCATTAAAAAGCGTGCATCCCCGAGGTGAGGACCTTCATAAGCAAAGGTAAACATCCCTCGCATTTGCGTATGCTTGGGATTAGCAGTGCACTGTACACGAACTATCCCTCAGTGACGGATAATCCTTGATGGGCAAAGAGGAGAGTGAATAGAAGTGACCTTCCTTTGCAAACCTCAGAGATTGGCCTAGAGAGAGTTTTACTCTCCGGCCGCCGAAACCACCAAATCAAGGCTCTCATCCCAATAGGCGAAAAGACAGGTACCCTTAGATCTTAAAGGGGTTTCCAGATCTCAAAGGGGTTTTCCAGCTCCTATAGGAAAAGGAAAACATGCGACTTTTTCGTCCTCTTAGATCTTCTTCAAGCCCTTTTCTGGCTAACAGTGAAGAAAAAAAAAGCAGGGGCCTTTTGGCTCCTCTGCAATCCTAGAGTTTCCAATCCAAAAACCAAGGTTTTGGGGCATTTCGGTCCTATGCTATTCCCAAATTCTTACTTCTTTTGGCTTTTTCAACGCTACGGGTCAATTCTTCAACTACATTTTTTTTTTTCCTGAGCTTACTTGTGTGCCTTTGCCAAGGTCAGTAATTTTTTTTGGGCTGCAGCTGAAAATTCAAACTCAAATGAATCCAACTCAAATCTGAAAATTACTTCAGAACTTTTAAAGGGAGGGAGCAATTATCTTTTTTGGTCAAATTCTGTAGAAATGTTTATTAGTGGAAAAAAAAGTTATTTACCTAACTGGGTCAAAAAAGAAGGCTCCAAACCAAAATGACTCTAGTTACGAGGAATGGCAAACAAACAATGACCTCGTAAGGTCTTGGTTGTTGAATTCTATGAAAAGAAAATTAGCCAAAGGGCTTCAGTTTCTTCCTACTGCTAATACCATTTGGAATAAAGTCAGAGAATTATATTGCAACTTAAATACTGCTTCCAAGATATATCAAATTAGACAAGATATTATGTATTTAAAAAAGGAGGAACAATATGTTTGCGGGGTAATTGGGATTGTGAGTGGTTTGTATGTTGAACTTGATTATTATCTGCCTGCTACAACTGATATGAACACTCTTGAAACTCGTACGGACCAAGAAATGACCTTTGCCTTGCTTTTGACTTTAGGTCATAAGTATGAAAGTGTCAGGAGTCAGGTACTCTTAACACCTACCATGCCAAATTTTATCAATGTTTGTTCTATTCTTTCTAGAGAAGAGACACGACGTGCTGCAATGTCAGATGATGTTAAAAATGAAATTGATGTATTTGATCACTCTACCTTGAAATCTGAAAATATTGAAGGGTCTAGACAAGCCTTACCATCTAAGAATACTTCTTCCCGTAGCAAAGGGCGAAATGGAAAACGACCTTACTGTACTGAAAGCAAAAAAGAAGGACACTTAACAAAAAATTGTTGGAAATTGCATCCATAAAAGAAAAGAGAATTCCAAGAAAAAATGAAGATGGCCAATCAAGCTAAGAACAATACTCAACAAACCCTTGAGAAATTGGCACAACTCCTTCAAAATTTTGGTAAAGCTTCCATTGCATCTAATTCCCAAGGTTCCATCAGTGAGCTAGTTAACTCTTATTTACTTTCTCATTCTGTATCTTCCTGGATTATTAATTCTGGTTCCACTGACCATATGACAGGATCTAAACAAGTTTTAACTCAATATCATACCTCTCAAAAAAATAATCCTGGTACTATTGCTAATGGGTCGATGGTTTCTGTTAAAGGAAGTGGAAAAACAACATTTTTTCACAATCATCCTAGTACTGATGTTCTGTACTTACCTGATTTCTCGTCAAGCCTCCTTTCTATTAGCAAAATTACACAAAATCTTATTTGCAATATTATTATCCATTCATAGACGTTGGTTTCTAATAATAAGAAGGTAACAGAGAGCCAGTTGTGGCATTGGTGTTTTAGTCACCCCTCAGATAGAGTACTAAGAGTTCTCTTTCCTTATTTACATTTGGACTGTGAAAGTTGTGGTATTTGTCAGTTGCTAAACAGACTCGTTTGCCTTTTAAGATTTCAAGTAGGATTTTTTTTACTTCTTTTAATCTGATTCATTCTGATGTTTGGGGACTTGCACTTGTCCCCTCATATCGAGAACACCGTTATTTTTTAATGTTTATTGATGATCTCTCAAGAACTACTTGGGTCTATCTTTTTCAAACTAAAGATCAAGTTGTCCCAACTTTTCAGGAATTCTATAAGATGATTGAAACTCAATATGTGACTCGAATAAAAAAATTTACAATCTGATAACGCGACAGAATATGTTAATCATGTTTTTTCTAATTTTTTTAAAGAAAATGGGATCCTTCATCAAACCTCATGTGTGGGGCACCCCCACAACGAAATGAGATAGTCGAACGAAAAAATAGACGTCTCTTAGAGGTTGCCAGATCCCTAATGTTTCAATCTAATGTCCCAAAGTGTCTTTAGAGTGATGTT